CAGTGAACCAATCAAAATTTCATCCAACATCTAATCTGTCTAATTACCAATAAAATTGCGCAACGAGTAAGTGGTTGATTGGGTCCGCTGAAGAGAGGCAAATTACGGAACTGCTGAGGCGACTCAAAGGTGGCGTTTCGTTTCCGCGATGTTAACGGCTTATTCGGTTTCTCTCAGCACCAAATCTTCCAGAAAACCCAGGCTGGAACGCACCAGGCGAGCCGGTGCGATCATGCGTTTTTGCACAAAACTTGGATTGGGTTAACTGTATGAACGGTTGTTTCTTCACACCTACCTTGTTTGCTTAATGCCGAAAATCATTGTAAATTTTGCATAAAAAGAAATAAACTATTTTCATTTAACGGTGTTTTTTGAAAGTAACCCAACTGTTCAACAAGTAATTTTCCCGCCAGAAATTTATTTGCCCGTGCACGAAAATCACGCGTAAATGAGACTGAATTTGAAAATTTAAGTTTTATTTGGATGGGGAATATTCTCCTGAAATCTGAGCCTCCCAACTTTTCTGGTTCTTGAATTAGCAATTTTCCCGCCAAAAATTTCACAGGGCCGCACGTGACTTAGGAGCATACTTGGGGGCTGGGTTTGGAATTTTTAAGTTGTATGCAGGCTGAGAATATCCCTTTAAAATTTTAGCCTCCCAGCTTTTTTGCTCCCCAAGTTAGTCATTTACCTGCCAAAAAAGCTTCACGAGGCCGTGCATGAGAATCACGCAAGACTGGGGATTGAATTTGATAACTTTAAGTCGTACATGGGCTGGGAACATTCCCTGAAAATTTCAGAGTTAGCAATTTTCCCCCTAAAAATTTCATACGCTCTAACGTGGGTACCACGCATACCTGGGGGCAGAATTTGAAATCTCTAGCCAGTACATGCACAGTGAATATCTCTACAAATTTTCAGCCCCTTAGCCCGTGTAGTTCCCGGGATCGCTTTCCTCCCAAAAAATTTGCATATTTTTTTAAGGGGCCCGTACCTGGCGCCCAGGCCTCCGCAGGGGGTGATATTAAAATGGGAGGGTCGCGCATGGTATGGGCACATATTCCCAAAGTTTCAGCCTTCTATCT